GTTGTGTGAGGCGGGAAGTTAAGGTTGGAAGCCTCAGACTCTTCCTGTTTTGTAGGGGTCGTGCGTCATCTTGAAGCTATCAGGTTTGGTATAAGGGCACTGATGAGACTCGCCAGCAGACCACCATAGTCGTCACTTCGTCGCAGTTGACTCTTACCATTGTTACGGCGAGGCTGTGTGTGCGCGGGACGACCCGCGCAGCCTAAGCGCACAGGGAATTTGATACACCGACGCGCCCTGCTAGTTATTCATAGCTACGCTCGCTACCACGCACGAATGAACGGCGCTTCTGGATTGGTTTATAGCATCCTAGCTTCCCAATAGATAGCAGTCTGGATTGTCCTCGTTGCTGGGACTTATTGAACCTTTTCCTCTGAGCACCGTAACAACCATGGACCCCATGGTAGGATGCTGGTACTGCAGCTGCAGCTGAGGTTGAGGCTGCTGCTGCTGAGGCCGATGCCGCTGCCGATATTGATGCAGAGGATGACGCACTTACGCGCTTGGAGCGGATTTCCAGCATTGGTCGACACTCATCCAGGCCCAGTGCAGACGACGTCTGGTCATTGCAAGACTATCCACGGCTCGGCGTGCAACCTCCTTTACGGGGATTCTCGACGTCTGGGTTGCATCGGTCCGATATCGTTCATTGTTACCGAACCGAGCGACCATTGTCCGGCTCGTTGCCGAAGCTCTGCAAGGTCTTGACTGTGTAGGCTTTCACGACGTCTTTTGTCAGGGGTATCGACCATGTCCTCTGAGCGCTTACTGTGGATCTCTTGCCGCTCTTGGTGGAATCGGCAGACAAATACCATCGCTGACATCGATTATGATATGGCGAACACTCAAAAAACACTGTTGGCCAGTAGAATTAAGGCATATATATACCCACTGAAGTGAGGCGCGAAAAAGCGAACAAGAACGGCTGCGTATATATATGTTGCTGTGTTTCCATGTAGGTCTCGAGAGCACGGTCTTGTATGCATCATGAACGCTGCGACCCTTACACAAATGACCGATGGTCAGATCGAGCGCTGGCGGTATATCATATAACCCGTGGTATCTCTGTTCTAGTCAGTCGTCCAGATAACTGACATTCCCTTGAACATATCGATCAAGGCAACAGCTGTAATGCTTTGCAATGTTGCCATGCACATCGCATCAGTGGGATGCTGAACGGCACTGGAATCGGTAAAGTTAATGGTACCAAACCCGTGATACTGAAATCTGAGGTTCTTGTGGAGGAAAAGTTAAATCAGCACAGAAAATTTGGGCTTAAATAAACATTGACAACAAGGACCATGTGTTGCAAAACGGTCTGTGCACATATCCCCGGCAGGGAAGACGCGTATTGTACGTGGTTCGCGCAGCATTGACAAGAAGTGTGCACGGTCCAAGTGTTGCAAATTGATTTGTGCGGCTCATGTTCATTGAAATCTCCTTTCTGGCAATTTCGACTCCTGCTCCACGGCAATTTTTGACTTCAGCGCCGAGTCCGAATAGCTGTGCCTGGGACTGTATCTGCAATGCGACTCTCGGTGATCAAGGCATCATTGTTGTCAAGCACCGCATTCATTTCTCGCTAGCGGTGAAAATTTGCACGGACCTACGCACGGACCAATTGGGATTGGCTTGCCCGCATGGGATACGTGCCGTCCAAGCTGCTATGTAGATGATTGCACTGGCGTACAGAAGGTTGCGCTGCAAGAAAGTTGAACTAACACGTGTTCTAGCGAAGGTACACAACTTCATCAGGTGAAACAGGGAGGCGCAATATGCATCTAAGCCCGATATATGCATCCTCCAAAAATAGGGCGGAATGGAAAGGGAAGGTGCTTCCGTGGTTGATGGGACTGTAGAGATAGTTAAGAGAGAAACTTTGGTGTGTGGATTGTAAGAGCGTCATTTTGTAGGGATGTATTGATGTAGACAGGTGTGTCAGTAGGGAGAAAAGATGCCATTCCCTAGTCATTCCTAGTATACATAGAACTTGCTATATCACCAGTAGACTTCAAACAAACCATTTCATACTGGAGGGTCGTAAAGCGAGGAGTGAGAGCGTTAGCTAAGCCACTGCCAATAAAAAATGAGACGGATGTATTGCTAATGATATTGTGTATAGCTCTACGGAGATATCTTCTTCTGAACAGCCAAGACCACACCAATCCACTCGGAACGTCACTCCAAAATCCAACAACCGCCCCGTAGCATTTATATGTTAAGTCGTATCCGGCACAAAAGTGGTATTGGCCGCCGTGGCATCCCCACGGGACGCAATATAGATCCGAAAGGCCGCCGCTCTCCCTACAGTAGAAGGCAGTGCGAGCTGGCCGCTGTAGCCTCGCTGCCCGAGGTTGAATTGGCAGTATAGACGGCTTACACCTCCCGCACGGGTAGAGGCAGAGCGAGCTGCTGCCTCGCGTTGCGTTCTTCGCTAGAGCGAGCGACGTGGCTGAGTAGCGCACTGTGAATCTTCGATGCCCTGACGTGTTGCCCATGTGGCTGGCTCGGTATTGGGCAATGTTGGTATGACCCGGCACCCACCACTTCGCCCATGACTTTTAACGGCTCAGCGTCGTCAAACACTGGCCATCATCGCCACTGCACGGAGAATTGTCAAAGTCCACCTCCTCTTGAGTTCGAGGTTGAGTTGCAGTTCGTGCATCTTGAAATGCCGTGCCGATCAGACCAGGAAAGCTGACTGCAATGCCACTTACAGAAGGAGGTATGGCATGCGCCCAGTCACCCGACGCTAAGGTGGCTAAGTAAGAGCGACGATATCGAGCGCTCGACAAACCAACACGGCGTCCTGGTCGTTTGAGTCCACTTAAACGCCTGTCGCTCGGATCCACCCAGACATCCGTCGTTTGGGTCGATCCATACGCCCGTGGCGGAAAAGTGGAAGATGGCATGCGCGTTCCCCTTGCTCTTTGTTCTTGCCGGCAAGGACCATGATCTCGGATGGTATGCATTCTTCTTGTTATTCCACCCACCGCTGCGTTGAGGTTCAAAAGAAGGCGGTCAGCTCGTCATCGTAGTAGTTGTCAACCTTGCCCCAGATAACCCTGCGCTCGGCTACCTCATCGAGAGCTTGGTCCATCTTGATGCTTTCCTCGGTGGTACCGTCCCACGATCGCAGACACAGCTCGCGATGCATCTTGAAGATGGAGGTGCTGTACCTGACGTGGTTGGGACGCATTTTGCAACGCTGCATTACAGCCAGCAGCATCGGTAGCATCCACAGGCTTCGTAGTTGCTGCCGTATTCGTTCTGGCAAGCGATATCCAGTTCGGCGAGGGCAAAAACGTCACAGTGTAAGATCTGGTGGACGACCACGGCGACCTTGTGGTACTGTACCACCCAGTTTGAAAGGCGAGGGCGGTGATTGAATCCATCAGAGGATGCTTTGACTTGCGAAGGCACTGGACAGTGTGTGGCGGAACACTCGCGAGACAGTGTTTCGACGCCTAAAACCTTGTTGGGAACACTCAGGAAACAGTGTTCGTCAGATAGAGGCCGAGTGGTCTTGGCGGTGCCCCATATATGTAACCAGCGATAGATATACTGGCTTTGAGGGATTCAGATCATGAAAATGCAGAATATATATAACGCTGCGACGGGTTCGCGTGGCTCTCCGGTAGCCTATATCGAGTTTGTATTCATTGCGTAGTCCGTTGTCAACGTCGCTGCTGCCATGGCAGCGCTCATGTCTGTAGAGCCGCGGAAGAGGGTCGATGATATCTGCGAATATGGGCGATAGCCGACCCCAATCGAAGATGACATTCAGCTCGCACGACAGCTCCTTGACGTTGGGGTGTATATAAGCTCAGATGGAAAAGACATGATGCGAGAGCTAACGGTGCACTACTAAGCACGTGCCTCTCCTTGACGAGTCGGTCGTCAAGCGTGCCGGTCGAGGCACAGCACATACTGTTGCCAGGCGCATCATGGCAGCAAAGTGCTGATAGAAGCCATGGCAACAAAAGCTATGGAAGCAACTTGTGCCGTGGACACTGTGCTAAGGGTTGAGGTTGTTGTGGAGAAGAAGTCAAATTGGCGCGGCAGTGGGAGTTTTAAGGGAGAAATAGTCGCACGGACCAAGAGTTGCAAAATGGTCCGTGCATCATTCCCCGACACAACACATATGATACTGAAGATGGCCCGTACCCTATCCCCTCTGAAGCCCAGGAGCTACAGATGGTTCGTGCGCCGCCTTTTGAGCCATTCTGTATGCGTTGCGGCGTCCATCTGCTAGACTTGACATTAGACTGTGTTATCTCGCCATGATAGAAACGTAATAGAGTGTTGAATTTGTCAAAGTCCACGGGAACAAGAAGGGTTCGTTCTCGTATCTTCATCGACGACCAGGGAATATTGAGATGGGTAGACAGGCGAGGCCGCATGATTAGGGTATGTGTGCGGGAGAAGAGGTTATGGAGAATGTAATAAACAAAAAAGTCTCGAACATCCTGCGTCGCTATGGAGTTAGCTTTCATACTTTAGCGTGTAAATCTTACCTACACGAAATTGACTCAATGCACGAAAAGGATAATTGATCAGAGTAAATTGTCCCACCTGCAAAAAACCCAGTTGGCTCAAGTAAGCCTGCTTTTTTAATGTGCCTGCTCTGGATCCATTTTTCTTTTCGATTGGAACACCGACACCGCCCTCCATTTTCCTCACACTAACCCCCAAAGGTACCGCGTCGACGCACCGATGAAGCCGGTGCGTGGGGTACGTTGTGCGGGACTCGGTGATTGAGAATCTTTGATCACCTCCACTTACATGCTCGAATGCATTTTAATGGTAACGTGCAGTCAACAGCCTTTGTCCGCGGTGATTGTTTCCGGCGTCAACAGAGTAAAGTGCGTCGGTGGATTGTGCACTGACCATGGTAGTAAAGTATTATGGGTCATCACTAAATTGTTGTGATTTACGACGCCTGCAATGCTACGACACCACGTCGGAGGTGCATTCTTCGACTCGATATATAAAATGTTGGCCGGCACTCTTTTCTGCCCCCAAATACCATCGACGCAACCACGTTCAGACACGTCAACCATCACTGCAGACGATTTGCCTCTTCCAACGCTTAGAGCCATCACATAACATCACATCGCGAAGCGGCATGGCATTCCATCCAGAATTCAAGCTGAATGCCTGGAAGGCCATGACTGCCGCCGACCGCGCAGACGCTATCAATAAGGGAAAAATCGATCCTACGGGCCTCACACTTTGGAAGTTTCATATGATTCCACATATCGAAGCCACGGAACCATGGTCCATAGCCGTCTACAGCGCCGGCTTGCGCTGGAACAAACTCGCCGACGGTGGCGAACAGCAGATGTACTGGGCGCGCCATACAACTAGCCTAATGACCGGCAGCCTGGCTCCGCTAGAGCCTGAGGTCCTGCATAACTATTTGGCGGGCAATTTCCATGTCCAATCCGACAAGATCGGTGACATCGTCAGCACGGACTCCAAGCCTGTGTTTACTGCCTCTAAACAAGACTCGCACCAGAAAGCCTTGCTTAACGGCACATGGGATGTTTCCGCCGAAGCCATTGGGCGCCGTTCCGGCTCTGTCGACGACACGAGTGTCTCGCCCCCCAAGCACCGTTCGAACGAGAATATCGACGGCAAAGAGAACAACTCGATCAAAGTCCTTATCCTCGACAAGAACATGTCGCATCAAGACCTCTCCGAGCTCGTCGAATACACGCTCACTCTGGATTCGGAAGATGAGGCCTCCCGGCTCCTGCGCCTCATTGGTAGCCGTTTTGCCGTTGACGGCAGGTCGTTATACTACTACCATGCGCATAACAATCCAGCACCCTCTTCGTTTTGTCCCTGGCAACAAGTGCCATCTGTTGAGAAAAGGTACTGGCGAACAGCTACAAATAGCATGCTCGTGGCATTTGGTCAAGGAAATATGAGCGGACTTAAATATCTGCGCATCGGTGGCCGCTACAGCAAATACCAGAAGCGGCCTGATACCGAGCTTCACTCTAAAGTCGGCTGCCATCGTGTGTCAGCAACCCAAGACGTCATCAAGCGTGAGCTCGCACGCATCAACCAGGCCATGGAGGGGCGCGGGAGAGAAGCGCTGCTTCGCGGCCTCGGGAGCATGTTTTCGGAAGATGGTCAGACTTTGTTCGTCTTCCACGCTGAGGCGTACATTAACAAGGTTCAGGAACAGTTTCATGATGCAGTTCCATCGTCGAATGAACTGTGGACGGCGCTCCCGATGGATGATAGGTCCTTCTGGGCGTTTTGCACCTCTAAGCTGACTTCTGCTCTGGCTCGAGGCCTTGGTAACGGCCTCGACCATCTAATAACTGGCCCCGGTACGCGCCGTTCACTTCAGAACGAGCACAGGATTAAGGCAATCATGCAACAGTACACAAGCAATGTTAATGGGATTTTGAGTATGTAGCGTTATTACTACTAGTTAACGGCAAGTGAAAATGATCGATCTTCCTCCTTTGAGTGCTGCTGGCTACTTAATCATTGGCGTGTTCCCAACCATGGGGGTGGTGCCTCCATTGACGTTAGCGGGAGCTGTAGAGATTTAGCTCCCGTAGGTGAGAGTGCGCGGCGACCCGAAGAGGACGGACCGATAGACGGAATCAGGGACAGGACAGATGTAGATGTATATGAGTAAATACCAGAGTCGAAATGACAGTGTGAAATGACTACCTATCTCTTTGGGGGGACGTCAGAATGAAAATCCTGTACCGGTGGGCCGGTGACGTCACGTCGTACACTAGCAGGGCGCATTCACCATGTCACATATGACATGACCCTGAGGGAAAACCTCTGTGAGGAAAAAACCTAGGGTTCAGCTGGTAGTATAGCTATCGCTGACTTGCTATGCAAGTGCCCCGCATACGCGCTAGCGGCAATGCTTGAATCCAACACTAGGTACAGTGACCGAGAGTTTTGCCAATGCTGGAAAACAAGAAATTGTTGGGTAGCAGAAATCGCCTTGAGACCTACCGTCAGATTTCGTCCGCCTTCGCCTCTTGATAGACCGCATTTCAACGGAGTACTCCAATTTAAGTATGTACACACAGAAAGCAAGACGTTGCTGGGTAATTAATTTTTCACTTTTTCGCAAGTAGTCTTCCTACCCCTAATTATCCATCTTAGCATTATCCACCATATCTTCTGGCAAGAATATCTTCCAAAAATTCTTATCGGGTCGGGGACATTCAACCGTCCATTTCTACCATGCTAAGAGAAGCAACTGTCACAGCTAATGCCGACAGGGTCCGCGCTCTCTGTTGTAGTTAGATAGCACAACTGGAGCCATCTCCTTGCGCGACAACATAGTTCCAACGCGTACCCTGACAGCAACAACAAGTCTGGACGAAAATCGTCTGCGAAGAAAAAGATGTTCAAGGCAGTGACGCCGGTTCTTTGATGTTCTATTTGGGTCTAGCTACGATGAAAGTTCATGGGTGACCTTTACGAACAACCACCTGAAGGTGCATAGTTACTTTCATACCATAACCACCTACAGGTAGACGGTGAGACCTATTTGGAAAGCGTACAGAATCACAGATCTGTGAGACCTTGTCATAAATCTCACAAGCACGTAGTCCACATGAAGTACCCATGAACACCGCCTCATCATACCGAGCCCACCATACCTTGCTGACGAACTCATCACTTCCTCCCCAAACGCCCAACCCCACTGCAGGATGCCAATTCGCTTTCACCTCATCCACCCTACCCTCAACGCCTAAACCCCTCCAGCAAAATTTTCATCTTCTCAAACACCTCCACCAACTTCTCCTCCGACCCTACCCCCATTATCGTTACCCTCCCTGACTCAAACACCCGCACCGTAACCTCTGGCTTTCCCCTCTCATCCACCTCCCCATATCCATACTCCAGAGCCGGGAACCTCTCCGGCTCATAGAAGCACTTCTCCCAGTGCTCACTCTTCGCGAGCGCCACACAATCTATCTTCCTCCCCATCCTAAACGTCGCCACGATGTTCCGGATCCTCATCTCTTTCAGCCGCGGATAGTAGCCCAGCTTCTGGATTACCCGGCCGAATTTGCGCGCAGCAAGTTTGTTCTCGCGAAGGGATTTTGCACCGAAGATGATTAGTCGGCCGGTGGAGAAGTATACACCCGTTACGCGGGGGACGCGGAAACGCATCGTCAACCCCGGGGAGCGTTTGGGGCTGTACTCGGTATTGATGGCGTTGAGAGCGACGTGCCTAAGATCGAGGTGGCAGTCGAGATTGGCGGTGCTGACGATATTTCTGGTGGGGGTTAGAGAGAAGGGGGGAAGGGATGGGAGGGAGCTAACTGGATTTTGAGGGCCGGAGGGGCGGGGTCAGGTATGGTGGAGAGAATGGTGGCAGGTGAAGGGATGGTGCTGCCTGAGGACGGCATCTCGGTACTGCCGGTTCCAAATGCAGAGCTGGCCGGGTTGCAGGCTACTGCCCACAAGTTGTCGGTAGGGGCGACATAAACGTCGAGGAACCGAGAGAAGTCGTCGGCGCCAGCAGCAATTGGCGGCCTGACTTGTGGAGCAATGCCAGTATAATTGCCAACACGATGGGAAAGGAGTTGGAAATATTTGGCCGTCATGCCGGCGTGCTGAGCATAGGCGGGATAGTTGGCTGTTTTGTCCATCGAAGCGGCATGAAATTGGGCCTTATAGCCATGCATGGTCTTGCCGTTTTGTGCATTGGCACCGCGGGCAACAGAAAAGGTCTGCATGGCGAAAAAAGCTAAGATGGTCAGCCCTGAGGCGAGTGGAGACAAGACGCCCACTGGCTTACAATTGGAAATCTGTCGGATTTTTTTGAATGTGTTTTGTCGAAAAGGGTGCAAGGATTTCAGTGCAGGACTCTTAACTGCGTTGCAAGAAGGGAGAAAAGAAAAGTGCGATTCCAAGCCCAACGCCAAGAGTTGTAAAACTTTACCCGCGGCATCGGTGGGTCCCGCTTAAGTCAACATATAGCACTGTTACGTGACGCGTCAGATGTGCCTCCGAGACGCGTTCTCATCAATACAATCGTCTTGCACAATGGGCTGTTGCGCACGAATGCAGTTAAAGGCGACTTCGGGTATTGCTTTACAGGCATCAATGCGTTCGGACCGACCCGTCTGAGGTTTGGCATCGGGGCATTGAAGACACACACGGCCACCGGCAAGTGTATTTACGTTCCATTACTGCTTGAAACTGATGAAACATGATACCTTTTGTGTTTCTCCACCATACAACTATAGCGACAGCCGACTGTACATTTTGTTCCGCAAAGTACATAACTGTCACCGTTGAGCAAAGCTTTAGCCGGACGAGGAGGTCTTTTCCGTGGTCTATAAGTCTTGGCAGGGGTCGAGATGTGAACATACAAGCACAGCTCCATGGCTTTACCGAGCTACCTGTGTGGTATCAAAGCTTTCTACAGAGCAATATTAGGAAATTTGCAATACCACATTAAAGTTCACTGACGACTCATTGCATCCCTCCGCTCTCTCCACCAGCGAGCAGCAAGAAGTACAAAACCTAGCTCTCACCTCAAACTGTCCGAATACTAACAAGCTATCATATGTAGCCCACACTGTCTTCCGACTGTTTAGCAACCTACTGAGCAACCCACCGAAAAAAGTTTTCAGGAGCAATATTAGGCTCAGACATCCAAAACATGCCTGAAAGGACTCTCTCGTAACCATATTTATAGCCGAGGTGGTATATAGCTGTACCCCGGATATTGCGTAATATTGCTTTGCCAAGACCAGGCCACAAAACAACCTTTTCTCAGGGGATATTCTTGGTGGTATATCTCCTAGGTAGCCACACATTGCATGTTGATGTTAGGAATATTAAAGACCCGACATTGGTTTTACGATTCTACGATGCAGATCTTTGGAATTGCATGGGATTATATAAAGTTCATACGAATACCATGGACTACGATGGAACAGGTTGGATGAGTTTTTACTTTGAAGCGCAAGTGCTGCCTCTCTTGAAGATTTGGGCACATCATTACCTTTCTGAGCAATCGATTTTTCCCATCAAGCACACTACACTTGCGAGACGATTTGGGGGACAAAAAAAAACGGCACAGAATTTATGACAGCTTCGCATGACAGAAGTTGAAACGGTTTCTTTTAGACTCCGACCATTTCCGATTTTAAACTGACAGTGGCCTCATCTCTCTTCCGCTCCTGCTAGGTTAGTAGATATAATCTCTCATCGTTTAAGAATTACAAATCTTAAGAATCCTTGGCATGACGAATGAACCGACCCATCGGAGCGCCATAACCAACAAGCATAGGAATTAACATGACGCGTTCTCATCGGCCCCTAACCTCTGTGATGAAGTCATCTTCTGAGCCGAGATCCCATCTGCTTTCGTTACTCCAGCCAATAACCTGGAGAATTTCCTCGCGTGAGCCATAAAGCTTGCTTTCCAAGTGGCCAAGGGCTGCCACTGCTGCACGCATCAAGAATAAATCGCCCTCAAAAACATAGATATCGAATATGCGGCTGACGTGTTCAGACCGCAAGTGGTATGCAAACAGGCAGCGGAAAATGGGATCAAGGAATTCATCAGGCTGGAGACCTATTGTTGACGAGGTCAGGTGGGCGTGTAGACTCGGCAATTTGTCTTTGAGCCCAGCCAATACCATCTCGTAGGTGCGCGTCATGGTAACCTGGTCGTGTACGAGAAATGCGAGTGGAGCCGGCCGATTGAGCAGGTTTGCAAGTGTCACGAACGCATCGGGTGCCTGCATATGCACGCAGAGAAGACCCGCGATAAGATGCGTGCCAAAGACGTAGCCAACATCTGGTCGATACATGGCATACGCCGTGAGGACATCCGTCAGGGCACGAGCAGCGGGCGACCCGGGGCGAAAGAGTTGGAGCTCGGGAAAGACATTGGGCACATCCCGCTGGATGGCCGTAAACCAACCAGCTTCCTTGCTGGAGCCACGTTGATCGTGCGGCAAACACGCCATTTGCTGTTCCAGCTCGGCTGCACGACCCAAAGCAGCGGTAAAGGAAGCGCGAGAAAGCCGCAAGTCGTTGCCCACCGCCTTGGACCACACCAGGCTACGATCTCCGCTGGCCACGCCCCGCCACCAAAGCTCGCGCGTTCGCGGCTCCCGCACGGCAGCATCCCATCTAGGTATCACATGGTCGTTCCATACGCGGGCAATGTTGTTTTGCTGTATTTCCCTGTTTTCGGCCTCGATCTTGAGGCGCTGAGCCTTTTTCCTCTCCGCCTCTGCCGCATGCGCCATCATCTGCTCCCATTGCTTCATGTGTCGTCGCTCCTCCTTCTGGTCCTTGGGTGGCAGCCAAGACGGCCGCGTACGGGACAAAACCGCCTCCTTCTCCTTGCTGATCGGCAGCGGATCAATCATAATATTGCCCTTTTGGATCTGGTTGCGGTCGATGATTAGGGAAACGGGCCGAGATTTGCTGCTGCTGTCCCGCGGCGGACTGCTATTCGCGCTGTTAGAGCCTGATGCGCACTTTTCCGAAGAGATACGTTCGCTATACTCGGCAAGAGCGGCTGACAGCTGACGAGATTCTTCGTT